CATCACCTTTCTGTTATGAAAGCAGGCCAAGTACCAGCAGTTTTAAAATGGTAACTAGCTCGGCATTCTATAGAGAGGGCTTTATAGAGTGCCACCTGCCCTGCCTGTGCCTTGGTAGCCATGCAAGCCTGGGTGCAGGCAGACCCCCCTCCCAGCCTCTGTGCTGTGTTCTGTGGGAGGAACTGCTGTTCAGATACCAAGAAATACTGCTTCCTTCCTGGGGTGCAGCCTGGAAGGGAAGGATTTGGTTAGACTTAGAGGATTAAGCTCATGTCATTATAAAACACTGTGGAGATCCATGCCTTGGTATTCATTGTCTCTGTTCTTGCCAGCCTCGGACGAAGATTTGGGGTTTTTTTTACATAGTTATAGCTTCCTAATTCTTCCTGCTTTCTTTCATTTAGGCATTGTAAATTTAGTCTGCATTTGGCCAGCTTTGGCCAACATTACCATAAAATTGCTGAGATCAAACTGTGCTTCTCTGCACTTCTGCCCCATGTCTGTGGAGACCTGGGCTTCAGGGGAGATGAGAAGTCTCCTGCTACCCACCAAATAGGACTTGTCAGGAGAGCCTGGTGTGCCTGTAGAGCTCTGCAAAACCTCCTGGCCATGACCCCACCACCCCATGGATGTCCCTGGAAGACCCTGAGCAAACTCTGTCCCTTTTACTTCAGTGTTTTGGAGAGAAGTGACTCTTGTAACCTCATAATGTGCTATTTTAATCTTACTTGAAATAGCAGCTACTTGCCAGAACTAGAAACACATTTGCTTGGGAAGGGATTCTGAAGGTGAGCTGTTTCTTCTAGAAGCGTTCATTGCAAGAAGGGCAATGGTTGCTGTTTAGGGGCCTTTGGGTAATATGTAAGTCTTGTTGCAGGAAGCACAAAGAAGGTAGCCAAGGTGTTCCTGAGAGGATGTGGATCAGTCAATCTCCAGCTCTATTCAGATTGCCTAGGGAAATCTGGGCAAAGCCTCTCTCACAGAAAATCATGTCAGGTGGTTGATGTGGGGCTCTGGATAAGATTTCTCTCTCTCTCTCTCTCTCTCTCTCTTTTTTTTTTTTCCTTTTCAGAGCTTGTAGAAGTGGAATTGTACAGAAAGTATCACAGACTTCAAGCTAGTCTGTGTTTAGATATACCTGGGTAAAGATGTCAGCTCAAGTTCAAGTTTCCATCTTTTTCTGTCTGACTGGGGAAAAAACAAGGGGAAATCACAAGTTTTTGCTGCTGGAGAGCTAGCAAATGTTTGGGTTTTTTTCTGTTTATTTTGAGCAGAACCTTGGAGTGTTCTCCAGGTGCAAGAGAGTGTTGCTTCCCCTGTATAATCCAAACTTTCAATAGCATGTCAGGTGTTTGTAAAGGTGCACAGCTGAGACTTGGATATGCATGTTAATATGAACACACTCCAAGGCACAGAAGTCCCTTAGAAACAAGTATTGACTGTTAGGTTTTTCTCCCACTTGAATTCTAAATCAATACAATTTAATACTGAAATATGTATGTTCTTCTTTCCTGAAAGTAGCTTTACAACTCAGCCAAAATACTATGGAGACTGTCTTATTTAAAAAAAAAAAAAAAAAAGGTTAAATAAAGTAGATTTTTCTTACAGGGGCACACCCGTGGAGATCAGAACCTGATTGAAAAGTACTTTCGAGTACCTTTAGATATGAATACATGAAATAACTAGGTGAAACTAAACCCATCCATGTTCACAATATCTTGTCACCACTAGAGATCACTAGCAGATGTGAAGAGAAGATCTGAAGAACCAGACAGGTGCACAGATGTGCCTCCTTTAATTTGTAACATGTTGAATCCTTGAGCTACAGGGGGTATCAGCAGACCTTAATTTATTTGTCTTCCATTTATTGGTACTGTTGATGTTGAGCCTGGATAATGTTTTGCATCTAGAACATCATCTGGCAAGGTTATCCATAGTTTAACTATTGTGCTTCAAAGTGACTAGCTGTATGGTTTGGCTTGTACTGGAGCTGCAAGATGGTGGTAGCAGAGAAGGGTTGGCAGCCACCGGAGACAGTTTTCCATATCTACAGTGGTGGTTAAATAATATCAGAAAAGAAGTGGTATTGGGGTGATAATTGCTTATCACACTTCAGAAATAACTGACACAGTAAGAGGTTCGAATGCAGGATGGTCCCGGGGTCCTGTTCAGGCTGATACAACAATTTTATACAGAAATAATATTAATCTATAAGTCAGTTGGACAATGAATACATTGACCGTAGCAGTGACTTGACACTCTGGTCTGTTGTTCATCGTAGCCCGTGTGTCTCTGAAGGGTGGATACATCTTTTCACTATGAGATCAGGTGGACACCTGCCATTGCAGGAGCACTTTGATGCCAGGCTGGGCTTGCTGCGTACCAGGAGCCAGGGCTGCTGAAGTAGGTTGGGTTTCCAGGCAAGTTTCAGAATTCATTGCTGCTCCCCTTCTATCTGTTTTAACCTTAAGTCAGAGATTGATTATTTTTAAAGGTTAGCAGTTATGTAGCAAAAGAAACTCCCTTCTTTGCCAGCTTGGAGAAGTGCCCATGGTCTGTGACTTCACACAGCTTTAATTTAGGCAACAACAACAGCCTTTTCAGGATATGCCTCTTTATTACTTTCACTTGAGTTTCTTTGAACAGGGAAAATAAAAAGTACAAGTCAAATCCCCGCTTTACTAGTCTTCTCCTGGAGTCAGCTCTCACCTGGGTTGTGCAGAAACAGGATAGCAAGGGACAAGAGCAGACAAATCACATCACTAAAAGCACTTTTTGCAGGTTAAACAAGGAGACCTTGAGGAACAGGGTCTGCATTCCCTTGCCTGATAGCTGTTGCCTGCTGTATCTCCTCCTGATGCTAGGTCGAATGAGCAAGACACTGCTTCTTTAGAAAAACAGCTCACACCTCAGACAGACAATTGATTTACCACCACTTGGCTTGTCCTGGTGCATCCTCTTGTGAAGTGTAAGTGCTCACAGTCCATAGAAAGTAAAGGATGATGTATGCTGTTGCCTATAACTCTCTCATTGCCAGCACAGTTGTAGTACTGATACACTGTGTAGGTGTGTACAGTGGGTGAGAGCAGGCACGTGCTCACAAAGGATGTATGTTGGTAGTGTATACACTGTACTGGGTCGTGGCTTTTAAATCTTTCTCTATAATTCTGTAGCATTATTACAAGATGGATTTATAACACACCTAGAGCTAATGTAACAATGAAGATTAGTCCTCTACTAGTCGAACAGTAATACACTTTCATTTGCCTACAGCTACTGTATTGTATTGGCATGAAAGGAAATAGCTTTCTAATGCAACTTCATCTGCTGAGCAGGAAAAAATCTGTGCTGCAGAATGTAAAACTACATAGGACTATAGCTGGCAGCAAAATTCAGAGGAGGAGAAACACAGCACAAATAAAAGTATTTGTGAGTTGGGTGTATGCTAACAATCCTAGTTTATTGCTAAAGGTGCCATATACAGTAATCCAGTTTGCCTGGCAGGTTCAATATTGCTTTGTCTTTGTTTTTTCACTAGTTCATCTCCTGTACTAAAATGCGTCCAGGAATAAAAGGTGTAAATTCATTAGTTTCCAACTTTGTGACATTAACAAGAAGTCGATGTTGTAATGTTCTTCAGAAGCACTGAGGCTGTTAATACAGTCCCTGCTGTGCTCTGAACCTAGAGACACACTGGAGACCTCAATATCTAATCCATTAATGCAAATGTTTCTGCTCTCTGTTGTAAATGCAGGGTCTTCTGGTGAGTGTGGGGCATACTCTGAGTGGACATGTGTACAAATAGTTACTAAAGTGCTGGCACGTTATAGGATCACAGGATTGTTTAGGTTGGCAAAGACCCTTAAGATCGAGTCCAGCCATTAACCTAACCCTACCAAGTCCACTGCTAAACTATGTCCCTAAGCATCATAGCTACACAACTTTTAAACATGTCCAGGGATGGTAAATCAATCCCTTCCCTGGCCAGCCTGTTCCAGTGCTTGATAACTCTTTCAGTGAAAAAATGTTTCCTAATATCCAACCTAAACCTCCCCTGGCACAACCTGAGGCCATTGTATTTGCCATTATATTACCAATTACTGTTACATTACCATATATTTACCATATAATTTACCATTATAGTTACCATAAAATAGAACTTTCTTCTTCTGGAGGGCAGCAAAACCATCAGCTTCTCCCTTGTTCTGGAGAGTCAAAGGATGCACTTGAAATCATCATATCTGGGATAATATTTAATAAATACCGCATAAGGGAGAGAACTTGTTTTTGTGGGTACATTATGAGAGTTAGATGCAAAAATTAAATGTTTCACATGCTTTTGATCTCCTCCCCCCCAAGTAAACCATCAATGAAATATAGTTATGTTTAAAATAACAGGTTTTGTTTCTAGACCAAGGATGTGTCTCACTCTCAACAAGGGCAAGGAAGGACTAATAACTTACATGCAAGGAGGGAATGTATCTCTTCTGAAGGCTACTGATATAAACTGCTGGTGGGAAACAGCTACAACAGATTCTTGTTATCACAATAGGTCTCTGATGGGAAAGGTGGCCCCACGGGCAGAGGAAAAGCCAGAGAGAAAATTATAGATGAATTGCTGAAAAGGTGTCCAAGCAGCTTCTGCCTAGCTCTCCACTGGTGTGACGGGCACTTCAAAATACTCGAGTGTGTTTGTTGTCCTGTTCCCTTACCTTATCAAAGACTCACAAGGTATCTGACTATCAGCTCAGAAAGATGAACCCTGTCACTGCCTATTATTCACCCTGGCACCTTGCATTATCATCATAAATCCATCAGAGCCAGTAACCTGCTGTTCCCAGTCTAAACCTTTGACCTCTTCATCACCAGGTTCCTCTGTCCTGCAGACCCGTGGAATAGTCAGAGTGGTTGCATACACGTATGGTCTGAGTTTGCCAATAAAACTGAAAAAAATATAGCAACAGACTTTTTTTTTTCTTGTTTGTTCTTCCTCAAAAAAGTTGCAAAGACATGACAAAGAAGATTCCCCTGAGAAGTGGAGGACAGAAGAAGAAATGGCAGCTGAAGCAGCAATTCTGAAGAAGTATTTTCAGGAAAAGTAGAGGTAATGATTTACACATTGACTTATTCCTGCAACACCCAAAGCTCTGTTTAAGCCTCCATAGGCTTCTTGAGGGCAGAGGGGGAATATGTAGAATGGAAGAAGAGAAATGAAATCTCTTAAGTTTGTGTTATTTCCAAAAGGACACAGCACTCCAGCAGTGTCAACTCCTTCTTGAACAAGTCAGCACCATCTTGGAGAATTTAGTTTCCAGACAGAAAAAAATAACACATCAGGAAATCAGAATCATCAGCAACTACTTAAGGGGAATATTTAGCCTGACATATCCTTCCTCTGTTTTTAGAACAGAAAACAGCTTTCATACCTCTATGAAGAGCTAAAAACTGGTGTATACTGTACACCCAGGTATGCATATGCATCTATACATACAAAATCCCAGCAGAATTCAGACTATAGAGAGGATAAGCAAATGCTAACTTCATCTGTCAAATCTTAAATCATCTCATTAGTTCAACTTTTAAACTTAAGCCTGATGGAAAATTGCCTATTCTGCTAAATTTTCCTGTGTCCCTGAAAGAAAACAACAGGAAAAAAAAAAAAAAAAGATTAGCAGGGAGAAATAGAAAAGCGAAAACACTTGGCAAACACTAGCATTGATGCTCTAGAAATTGAGAGTTTTTCATTTTGTACCTGGAGTCCCAGAAGCCAGATTCTCCCAGTAGAAGTTAACTGGCCCCCAGAGATCAATGAGTTAGACTGGAATGTACACTGTGGCAATGATGCCAAAAGCTCCCTCTCCCCTGATCCCCATATGTTGTTTGCCATCATCCAGCACTCTCATTTCTCTATCATTTCTGACTCTCTCATATTTTTTCCTCTGAAGAACCGAGATCCCATAAATATCCCTCCTCTCTGCCTGTGACTCACTGCTTCCAGCCCAGCTTGGAAACCTTGAGCTCAGCTGCACATTGTGCGCATGGCACGCTCGTGTGGCAGCTCTTCCCTCCTGTGCCAGTCTGTCCTCTCCATTTGGACTGCTTCAGCAAACTCTTTGCTTTCCACTTTTTCTTGCAGGATGACCATGCTCTTGTCTTCTCCAGTTAAATTAGCTATGCCAGCACTTCTGTGGACTGGCACAGAGAAAGCTGTGTGACACACGTAATTCCCATCTGTGAAGGAAATTGTCCTTGGCATCTGGGACCTAGGGACCTCCAGGGTTTGGAGCAGCAGAGTTTGGACTACACAGACAAGTTTTCATAGTGGCTGCTGGATTTGGATTTAGACACTCACTTTTCACTATGTCAGAAATATGCTTCTCAAAAATTAGTTACTCGGCCAGAAAGAGCATATCCTTAGGTAATGCATATGTAAGCACTCTTCTCTACTAACAGAGGCATTCTGTAGTACTTCATCTGTGGCACAGCAGCAAATGAACAGTACTTGGGATGAAATGGTGCATCCATATTCCAATGTGATGTTGTTCCCCATTATATTTTTGGTGGGATTTGAGGGTGGTTTTTTTTTTTGGTTTTTTTTGTTTTTTTTTTTGTCTGGTTAGAATTGAATTTGAAATGCTTTTCTGCAGAGATTCTCAGAGGGTTTGGAATTAAATCCCCACATATCAATAAAATATTCTTAGGCTTTTCTGATGCTAAACATAAAGCTGGATAGATGGTATAAATTCATTCCTGCAAGCAAATTCATGTAGCTGGACTTTTATTTCCATTTATTATGAAAATAAATCAGCCTGTGTCTGCATGGATGACCTCTTGATAAGTTCCCCATGATATTAAGGTCATTACCTTTCCTAGAACAGACTGGTAAATTAAATCTTACTGGCATCATCATGAGAGTATTTTGCCTACTACAGGCAGTCCTTCCAACCCTTGATTCCCAACCTAAGGCATCACTGTCAATCTCTTCTCCCTGACATTGCTTTGCTTCTGAGGTTTAAGGCTCTGAGCCTGAGATAAAGGTATATCTGAGGACATTCTGAATTTCTCAAACTTTATCTACTCTCTTAACCTTGTTTTAAAGTGATGAAGATTGAAACCTTTTGGCAAATTAGCAAGGTTATATGCATCCTTCTTCAAAGCTCTTTTTTTCACCTACAAAGGATTTATCTTGCCATTTATAAGTTTACCTGGATGCTATTTGACTTGAGTTTTTTCATGCGGCACAGGGAAAGTCAAAAAGAGCTGAATGTGGGTATTCTAGAGCAAATAAATAGCAACTTTTAAGGCCTCATGCATTATTTTTCTACTTAAGTGTTTTGTTCAAAGAAGCCCAGCTCAGCTAGATTAACCTAGACAGACTGAGCCACGTTTCGGAGTTTTCTTAGCTACCCTTACATTTATAACAAGTCCTTCACCAACTGCCACAACTCCTGTATGACTTGTCTAAATACAGTAGCACCATTATCTGTATTTATGGACTATCTGATCAAGAGCTTGCAGGTGACCTTTCTTTTTCCTAAGAAATACTTGAACAAGGTAAGAAGCTGTCGATTCTCTCCCTGCTGCATTTGCTAGTGCTGATCCCTGCTGGCTGGTTGGATGGCCACAGCCAAGTGCTTCTACACCAGGCCCCAGATGATCAGAAATATCCAGTCCTTGCTTAAGGAAATGAACCCCATTTAGCATTGCTAAGTTTACACCCTTGAGAAAATATGTATCTTAAAATAATTTGTTTGTGTGTACAGCTGTCTAGAGTGGGTGAAACAGAAATCTATGAGTGAATTGCACATTTCTGGTCTTTTACTGCATGTCACTATGCCACTGTATCCTAAATCCTTAGAAGGACTTGTCACTTCTTGAACAGTCCCAGCATGTGCAGGCTCTGTGGGGCTGCGCTGGGTGCCATGTCTTCAGAGCCAGCAGGAACTTCATGTGGCCCTGGAGGAGGACAAGAAAAGGAAAAAAAAAACCTTTCTGTGCATAGGATACTTAATACATAATCACCCCAGTTATTCACTCTCTTGCTGAGTAGCAGCAAGATTTGACCTCTTTAGGAGCCATTCCCCATTCAGTGTTGGCTGGCATATGGTCAGTTGTGTTTGATAATTGGTTGTTCTTTCAGATGGA